TTGTTGTCTGTTCTTGTTGGTTCTCAGTCCACAGAACTCCCTTTAGGATGTTTGGTAGCGCAGGGATGGCTTTGGCAAAATCCCTCAGCTTCTGTTTGTCCTGGAATGTTTTGAATACATAATCATATCTGATTGATAGCTTTATTGGATAAAGAATTCTTGGTTGGCAATTCTTTTCTTTCAGGGTTTTATAGATGTCTCCCCATTGCCTTCTTGTTTGCATGGTTTCTGCTGAGAGGTCTGAGTTTAATCTGACTTGCTTGCCTTTGTATGTGACACTTCTGCTTTCCCTGGCTGTTTTCAGATGTGTCTCCTTATCTTTTATTTTGGAGAGCTTGACTACGGTATGTCTTGGTGATTTTCTTTTGGGGTCTATCCTTCCTGGGGTTCGCTGAGCTTCTTGAATGTTTATCTTTTCACTTTTCAGAATGTTTGAGAGATTTTCTTCCAGAAATTCTTCAACTATTTCCTCTATGGACTTGTGTGATTCTTCTTGTTCTGGAATGCCAATAATTCTTAAATTACTCCTCTTCATGTTGTCCAACATGAATCTTAGACCTTTTTCAGATTTTTTAAATCCTTTTTTGTGTTTGTTCTTCTATCTTAGTGGTATTGAGAGATTTGTCTTCCAGTTGACTGGTTCTGCCTTCCATCTAGTTTATTCTACTCCTTTGCCCTTTCAGAGCACTGTCTATTTCCGATATTCTGTTATTGATCGTTTGGACCTCTTTCTGTAAGTTTTTAATTATTTCCAATGCTGCATCTATCTTATTTGATTGTTCCTGTAGCGCTTTCCTGACTTCTTCCTTATTTTTCTCAACTCCATTATAAAGTGCTTTGAAACATTTTATAATCATTTTTCTAAATTCCTTCTCAGGCATTTCCGAGGCCTGCCCTCCTTCCAGAATGGAGTCCAGGTCTACCTCTAGGTTATTTGTCTCAGACATTTAATCTTTTTTCAGGACATGTGCTGATATGGTCATCTGCTTTTGCTTCTTGGACATGTTTAGTGTTTATCTGTGGCCTTAATACTTAATTGAGTATGTGTTTTGGTATTTATGCTTTCTGATTGCTTCCAGGAAGATGTGACCAGGATGTGGGATTCCCTTTTCACTCTTCTTATTGCTTAACTCAGAGTAACTTTCACAGGTGTTGTCTGTTTCCCTGGTATATGGCAGTTGGAATTGTTTCTTGCCTGGGTTTTGGTGTTTGATAGAGTGTGACTGTAGCTTGGCTGTATGGCATCAGTTGCTGACTATTCTTGTGTAATATATGGAGAGAAAGAGTCCTCCAAAAGTAGAAGGGGAGCATACAACAGCAAAACAGCACCAGTGAATAAAAACAAGAGAAAAAACAAACAAACAAACAAAAGACAGCAACAATAAAAACTAGACTGAATACTGCAGTCTATAATTACAGAAAAGGGAGAGGAAGGAGAGAAGAAAAAAAAAAATCTGTAGCCTAATATGAGTATGACTTTAATGTCCTCTCTTCAGCTTCTTGCTTTCAAAGTTGCCTGAGAGATTTCAAGATGCCAGTGTTGGTTGTTATGCTATACCTCAGGCTTTAATTTAAATTTCGGCCTGTTTTGTTTTTAAACTCTCTCTCCCTCTCGACAGCCCTGTCCCACCCTTTCCTATGTTAAAAAACAAAAGACAAACAAGCAAAAAACCTTCAGGGCCTGCTCTTGGGCTGAGTATCTGTGCACATGTGTGGCAGAAGAACCCACTAGTGGTCAGGCTGGGGGGTGTCCACTCGTTCAGGCTATCCCTCTAGTCACCAGAATGGAGGTGGGCAAATAGCGGGTGCACCAATGACCAGATACCAAAAAAAAAAAAAAAGAAAAGAAAATCAGAACAAAGCAAAACTGACAAAGTGTATTGTTCAAGGTTCCCGCGACATTTTTCCATGGTGTTTCTGCTCCCCCGCTTGGTCGTGCCGCACGTTTGGTCTCGCCCAAGTTGTCGATTCCAGGCCTCCGAGCCCAGCCCAGCAGATGCAAAAGTCCGCGATTTTTTACTTTAGCTTCAAGTACCACAATCTATAAGCCTTCAAACCTTCAAAATATTCCTATAGCTGCGGTTCCGAGTTCTGGAGCTCTGCCCTGGATCTGCTTTGCCTGGTATTCTTATCGCTAATGGCGAACTTCACTGCACCTCCACCCTAGCTGCCATCAAGACCCACCTCCCAAAATATTTCAGGAAGAATTAAAAGCGAGTCCACACACTAGGAAAATTTATTTGGCAATGACATATCAGACAAGGGACTAATCTCTAAAATTTATACAAAAACACCTCTACAAGAAAAAGACAAACAACCCAATTAAAAAATGGGCACAGGACTTGAACAGACACTTCCCCAAGGAAGACATTAATGCAGCCAATAAATATATGAAAACATGTTCACAATCATGAGCCATTACAGAGACACAAATCAAAACAACAATAATGTCAACTCACACCAGCAACAACAAAGTTCAAAACAAACTCCAGAAAATAACAAATGCTGGTGAGGGTGTAGAGAGATTGGGACCCTCCTACTCCTACATTGCTGGTGGGACTGTTAAATGGTTCAACCACTATGGAAAGTGGTATGGCGCTTCCTCAAAAAGTTGGAAATAGAAATACCTTATAACCTAGCAGTCCCTCTACATGGTATATTTCTACAAGAAATATGAGCCAGGACATGGGTAGATATACACACACTAATGTTCATCACAGCCCTATTCATAATAGCAAAAAGATGGAGACAGCCTAGGTGCTTATCAATTGAAGAATGGATAAACAAACTTTGGTACATACACACAACGGAATACTATGCAACCCTGAAGGATAATGATGAATCTGCAAAATACATCATAACACGGATGAACCTTGGGGACATAATACTGAGTGAAATTAGCCAATTACAAAAGGACAACTGTATGAGACAGTTATTGTAAAAGCTTAAAAAAGGTTTCCTTGCTAAAAGAAATATTCTTGGATGGTTACCAAGAATAGGAGGGAAGGGAGTAGTTCACTGGTGAAAGGGTAGACACATGTTAGCTCTGGTGGTGGGGAGGGCAATACAAAAGAATTAGGGCAATACACAAGAGGAGGGAGGATAGCAGATGAACAGAGACGATAGGGGAAGACTTAGGAAGGTATGCTTGGGCTAAATGGATAGCAGTAAACAGTGATTTATATACAACCTTAAAGAGCTCTGGTAGCATAGTGGTTACAAGTTGGGCTGCTAACCTCAAAGTCAGCAGTTCAAAACTACCAGCTGTCCTGTGGCAGAAAAATGAGGCTTTTCTGCTTCTGTAAAGATTTACAGCCTATGGAGGCTCACTGTGAGTCAGAACCGACTCTGTGGCACAACACCACCACCATGTAACCTTGGAATTAACACTATTCTGTGAGTACGTACATGGATTCAAACAGAGGCTGTCCTGTAGATATTGGTTTTCCCTGCTCACTACTGAAATAAAGAGCAAAGATGTCAGCTTGAGGACTAAGGTACACCTGACCCAAGCCATGGTATTTTCAATAATCTCATACGCATGCAAAAGTTGGGCAGTAAATAAGGAAGACCATAGAAGAATTTATGCATTTGAGTTATGGTGTTGGAGAATATTGAAAGTACCATGAGCTACCAAAAGAACAAACAGATCTGTGTTGGAAGAAGCACAGCAGAATGCTGCTCCTTCGAATTCAGGATGACGAGACTTCGTCTCTCATACTTTGGACATATTATCAGGAGGCTAGCTTAGCTTTCATGAGTGTGCTTAGTTTCAGAATGAGGGGTAAGGCAGAATCCCAACTGAATAGTTTTCCTCTTTTCCTGACAGACCTGATGAAAGAGGATGGGCGATGACGGTGATAGGATTTTATGATCCAATTGTGAATAATTGTTAGCGGGAATAGTTGTGATCGGCACAACTATAATGGTAGAAGATGGAAGATGTGTAACTGAAAGGGGGTAGTAATTAATCTTTTATTTAAGGAACAGAGAATCCCAGGACCAGCTAGAAGGAAGAGCATGAGTGGAACTGAGATCCTACCTAGAAAAGCAGTAACAGCAGAGATGGTGGCAGAGGTGGTGGTATGGAGAGTTAGAGCAGCTGTGGGCTCTAGGTCCATGGACTAAAGTAAGGCTGTGTTCCTATGGGCAAGAGGCTGGCTTGTAGAACGTGTCCTCTGGACATTTAAATGGATATATATGTGTGTGTGTATATGTGTACACCAATTATTTTTGCTTTGTTCATTTATGAAATATAAGATGTAAATGCAGAGTCACAGGACTGTTGCTACAGAGAGGGATTATAATCATTGAGATGAAACAAAGTATATAGTTTGTTGAATGTAAAGCTGATAATCTTGTCTTTGAACCTTCACTCAATTCACAATAAAAGTTTAAAAAAAAATTATGTTGTTTTGTTGTTAAGTACTGTCAAGGCGCTCTCAACTCACAGGAACTCTATATAGGGTTTCTAAGGAGCGGATAGTGGGTTTGAACTGAACTGCTGACTTTGTGGTTCAGTCTAGTTCTGATCCTACAGTGCCACACCAGGAGTCCACATAAATTGTTGTTGTTAAGTGCCATCGATTTAGTTCTAACTCAGAGTGACCCTGTGTAAGGTTTCAAAGGAGCAGATGGTGGGTTTGAATTGCTGACCTTGTGGTTCACAGTCTAGTGCTGATCCTACAGCACCACACCAGGAGTCTATGTAATATACTTTAATAAAAAGGTTAAAAAGTTGACAAAAACCAAAGAATGTTGGAGTACATATATAATGTCAACTCTAAAGAAATACATGGGAATTCAGGAAAGAGATTACAAAGGATGTAGAAAAAAAGGCTGGTATAATTGGCGAATAACACAGAAGGGACATCTATGATGCTAGCAAGTCAGACAGTTTGGAATACAGGGTGAGTGACATTGGTTATTTTCCATCAATTTATTTTCCAGTGTTTCAACTTCAATTCTGAGACTTTCCTATCCAAAGCATTAACTCTTACCTGAGTCAATACTGAGGACATCATCATCTTCATCAGGAATCTCGATTATTTCTGTAGGCCGGGAAGCTTCATCCTCAGAGCTACTTTCCCGGTATTGTAGTCCCAATTTGGAGTAGAAGTCCTTCACCAAAGACTCACAATTAGTCACTGCCCTAATATTGGAACACATGTGGAAAAGAAGGTCAGAGCCAGCAGAGGAAGTAGTTTTAGGAGGCATTAAAATTTATATATATATGGACAGACTGTCCTCAACTTAAACAAACCCTATTTAGATGTAAATTATACTGTTAAGAATTTGGAATACTTTTTCTGTAGAAAAATGTTTTATATATAGTGGTTTAGTTCCCAGACCAGTCCCTTAAAGATCAAAATAAGCCCAAAACATAGTCCTTTCAACCTTATCTCATTATTTACCTTGTTATTTGAAAATGTTTTTTAAGTAACATCTAACCAAAATACAAAACCAAACCCACTGCCATCAAGTAGATTCTGACTTAGGGTGACCTCTTATATAGGGTTTCCGAAGCTATAAATCTACGGGAGTAGAAAGCATCATCTTTATCTAGTGGAAAAACTGGTGGATTTGAACTGCTAGCCTGGTAGTCAGCAGCCCAATGTGTAACCCACTATGCCACCAGAGCTCCTACCAGGGCTGTTATTGTTGTTCAGTGTCGTGGAGTCAGATACGACACACAGCGACCCTGAATGTGAGTCCTGATGTAGTACTGTGGGTTAATGCACTGGACAGCAAGGTCAGTTTGAACTACAAAGTTGGCAGATCAATCTCACCAGTTGCTCCTCAGAAACCCTATACAGGTCAGAATCAACTTGATGGCACTTCACAACAACATAGGGTTTCCGAGGCTTTACATCTTTACAGGGGCAGAAAGCCCATCTTTCTCCTTCAGAGTAGCTGTATTGCACCACAAATCTGGGGATTAACAATAATAACATAGGGCTTTACAGACTCCTAGTGTGGCACTGTAGGATCAGCAATGGACTGTGAACCACAAGGTGGAGGACGGCAGTTCAAACCCACCAGCTGCTCCTAGGAAACCCTGTACAGGGTTGCTGTGTTGGAACTGACTTGACAACACTTAACAATAGGACTTTAGAAATTTATTAATGCTCTACAACTACCTAAGACAGCAAGCAAGCCTTTACAATTTTTACTCCCTAGATGACTTTATTACGGAAACAGTAGAATGAAGTATAAAATAGGATGAGTGGGTTAGAAGGAAAAGGGACTCAAAAGACCTCGATTTCCCTACTGCTGATCATATGATGACCTCTGATAGATGGACAGTCTATAAATGAATAGTTGTGAGGTCTGATTCTGAAGAAAAACTTTGAAGAAAACTTAGGTCTTATATATTGGTTCTTAGCAAACTACAGAGTGCTTGGCACAAGGCCATGAATAAGTATACTTTAACAATGTATGCAATGGAGAGATTTTCTATCTACTTTCCATGTAGTCCTTACCTAGAAGCATCATCGAAGAGCTGATCAACATGGGCCACCTCAGATTCTTTCTTTATTACCCAAGTCTCCAGTTCTGCTAGCTGCTTTTTACGTTGTTGTACACAGTCCATCTTTTCCAGTTCTTCATCAATGAATTGACGAAGTTCCTCCATAGAGATGCCCAGCTCTTCAACCACTGCCTGCTGCAGTTCTGCAATCTCTTCAGACTCAACTGCAGCTGTTGCTGCATCCAAACCAATGCACTCAGACATGCTGTTGCCCTCTGCATGGAACAGAATTACCTTTGAGATCATTATAACTACAATCAATGGCGAATTTCAAACCCCTAATAAAACTCATTCATACTGTTACTTGCTATTTAAATATAATTACGTGTGAATCTTGATACTTTCTCCCCATTCTCCAAATCTGATACTAGACTTTGTAGACTTCTCAGCATATGCTATACAATAACAGGCCTAAATAAGATTTAAAAAGCTTTAAAGAACATGGTTTCATACACTATATTGTCATCTTACCTACAATTCACATATGATACACTAACATCTATTTCTGTTTGTAAAAAAGTACTGTTCTGAACATGCATTTCACATCAGTGTGTTACCAGAGGTAAAGGAATTGTTCTTTTTTAACGAAGCACAAAGCATCTAATAAAATTGTGTAAGCTAGTTACTATTGGAGGTTTGAAACATCTTGAAAATAAGTTGGGGGCATTCTAGCTGAGGGAAAACCATGAGAGTACTTCAAGAACTTTAGATGTTTTGGGTAAAACACAGGTGGTAGTGAGATATGAAAAAGTGAAAAGTTAAAATGGAGCCCACATTTAAAATGTGATGAAAGTCAGGCTTAAGAAGTTTTAACTAATTCCTTATGCAATGGGGAACTAATGAAAACAATCTTTAAATAAACGGAAGAAATCTACAAAGGAAAACAATTTCTTTGTGCTGATTTGTTTAATTGACTAATGAGAGAGATCTAGGTCTACAAGGCACATAACCACCACCGCCACATGTTACCTCAAATTTTAATAAATGTCTCCACCTGAAGAGGAGGCTTTGATCTGTAACTCACTTTACAATGGTTTATCTTTTATAATTACTTGTGCTCCTGATATAACTTTGCTTCGATGTAGAAGTTTGTGGAAATTTAATTTGATAGCTGCCTGTACTGCCATATAATGTCTTAATACAAAAGCTTGCATCAAAGAGGTTTCCCCAAAGTAAAAGAAAGTAAACCAATATAGAAATAAAATGTGACTGCCTTAAATCCACAATCCAAGTAACTCACATTGGAGTTAATAGCTTTTTCGACCAAACGGTTAAAACAAAATTGATGCCAGAATGCTGTCCGACCTCTATGCCAGCTCTCAGCGCCTCCATTTTTTCTTTACTACACCCGCCAGACCCTTGATCCAAGCCAACACCCCCTCCCCTCGGTGTTATCCAATTTAGGGGGGCGTCCCATCATGCATCCACCGCCCCAACACAACCCCGCCCCCGGTAACCTCTCGGGGAAGACTTCCTTCCTACCTTAGCCCAACCTCTACATACACAAAACATCTCAGACAAGCCTTTGGTCTCCAAATACCTCAACTAACAGTATTCCACACACCTGCTCGCTCACAGCTACAATAGCTCTTTTTCACCAAATAGACCCAGACTCACCACTCTGGGGTCAAACTCGACAGGAAGAAGAAAGAAAGAAAACGAAGGGAATGGGGTTAGAAGGGATGGGGAAGAAACGTGAGGGAGGGGAGGGGAAGCAAAAGAGACGCCCGGAAGTAAACCTTAGATGCCGTTCCGGTCACCACGACGGGAGCCTGATGGGGTCAAACTCAAAGCCGCGGGCGACCCTAAGAGGCTGGGCAAACTAGAGCGAGTACGCATGCGTCAAGGCAGAGCCTTTACCGACACACGTGAGAATCCCTGGCTAGAGGTGGTGGGCGTGGCCAAGAATAATTAAAGAAGACCCGCCTCTTCCACTGTTCTCCGCTAGTGGCAGCAATACTACGTTTATTGGGTTAAGACTCAGTCAGCACTTTTAGATTTTGATATTCTTACTTTTGCTTGAGTTTGTCTTCTTACATAAATCATACAAATTGTAACAAGTAAAAGGGTATCAAGATAGAATAAGAAAAACGTGATAATCACTTTTTCCCTTATTATTTACTGTATTTGATCTTTTAAGGTAAAACAATTTAGTTCTCTACGTTCATATGTGGATTTTTTGTTTTCATTTAGCATATAGATTTATTGTTGTTAGTTGTCATCGAGGCGGATCTGACTCCTGAACGACTGTGTGTACAACAGAAGGATACACTGAGGTTCCTGCACTATCCTCATAATCATTGCTATCTTGGGCCCAATGCTGCTGCCACTGTGTCAATCTATCTCGTTGGAGGTCTTTTTCTTTTCCACTGAACCTCCGTTTTACCAAGCATGATGTCATTCTCCAGAGGCTGATCACTTCTTTTAATATGTCTCAACTATGAGAGACGAAGTCTCGCCATCCTGACTTTTTCTTTTCTTTCTTTAATTTTTAACTTTTTATTATGAATTGAATAAAGGTTTACAGAGCAGACCATCAGTTTTACATTGAAAAAAATCATATATTTTGCTTCATTACAATGGTTTCGATCCCCTCCATATACCAAAAGTTAACAGTATTTACCTCTACTCACTTTTAGCTATTGCTTTCCTCACTGGGTTTCCCACTACCTTCTTTCCTCTGCTAAACTCCCTCTTGTATATTATCTGCTCTTTTACCCATATTAACATGTTTCTACACTCTGGCCGTAAATAATTTCCCCTCTCCCTAGCCCCCAAAGATTGTTTCTTTTATCAAGAAAACTCTTTCTTAACTTTTTGCAACACTGGTCTCATAACAACATTTGTCCTTTTATGATTGACTAATTTAACTCAGCATAATGTCTTTCATGTGGTGCTGTGGGTTATTGCTCTGGATTGCAAAGTCTGTTTGAACCACAAGGTCTGTGTTCAAGCTCACCAGCTGCTCCTTGGAAATCCTATACAGGGTTGCTATGGGTCAGAACTGATTCGAAGGCATTTAAAAACAATGAATGTCTTTCAAGTTCATGTGGTGTTTTGCAGATTCATCATTTTTCTTCAATTATTGCGTACTATCCCATTGTATATATGTACCAACATTTGCTTAATCATTCTTTTGTTGATGGGCATTAAGCCTATATCCATCTTTTCGATGTGTCTCTTGTAGATAACGTATTGAAGGATCCTGTTTTCTTATTCATCCTGTTTTCCATGTCTCTTGACTGGTGCATGTAATCCATATACATTCAATGTAATTATCCATAAGTATTGGAGTATTGATGTGGCGCTGTAGGATAAGCATTGGACTGCTAACTACAAGGTTGGTGGTTGTAACCCACCAGCTACTCCTTGGAAACCCTATACAGTGTCACTGTGAGTCAGAACTGAATTGATGGCACTTAATAGAAACAACACATGAATTGATTGCTGTAATTTTCCATGGTTTTTGAGTGTGGTGCTGCTGGTTTCTTTGTTCCACATAATTTTCTCCACTGAGTTAATTTTTTTATGAGTTTTCTTTTCATTTTAATTTCTGTTGTGTTAATGGTTGCTAAATCTTTATGATTTCCTCTTTTAAAATTTTGATGTACAGGTGTATTATTTATCTTTGAAGTTATCTTGTAATTAATTCATTGTTTTCCTTGCTTAAAACAGTCTGTTTTATCTTGAAATCTACTTGACTTCCTTGCCATTTGGAAGTTCTGTATCTACACTACTCCCTTTTTTGCTTTGCAGTTGACTTCATTATAAATTGATATCTCTGATTCCTTCTTTTCAGTCTTGTAAGTTTGTTTTACTTTAAATATATTATATCTGTATTGATTTCTGGGTGGTGCTGTCATGCATGGTCATCTCAGGTTATTTATCTGCTGTTGTTGGTTCACGGTCCAAAGAATGCCCTTTAACATTTTTTGCAAAGTTGATCTGGTCATTACAAATTCCTTTAATTTCTGTTTATCAAGAAATGTCCTAATTTCACCATCATATTTGAGGGACAGATTTGCTTGGCAATTTTTTTCCTTCAGAGTTTTGTATATATCATCCCATTGTCTTCTTACCTGCATAGTTTCTACTGAAAAATCAGAGCTTAGTCTTATTGCTTCTTCTTTTTAGGTAACTGGAAAAACCATGTAGGAACTATATCTGACCTCCTCTGACTTCACAATGGGGAAAGGGAATCAAACTCAAAATCAGTTCAAGGTAGATTCCTATGAAGCAGAGGTCAGACATGTTTCCACCCTACAACCTTCTTTACTCTATTTGGACACCAACCATCCTTCTCACAGCACTCTCTGCTTCACATCTGAGTTTGATAATCTATTGCAATGGCCACACAGAATTCATGACAATACTCACAGTTAAGGGGTTTATTAGGGAAGTAAACAAGGTACAATTCAGGATCAAAACCAACTAAGTTGCAGCAGTTCTTCAATCAGGAATGACTCTTTCTGCCATACTGCCGGCACGCCTCCCTCTTGTCTTTGGCCTCTCAGCTATGCGTTGGTCCTCTTGGCCTCTGCCTCAGTCCATGGGCTTAGAGCCTGCAGCTGCTCTTTCCATCTATGCCACCTCCTATGCTGTTGCCTCTTCCCTCACTGTTTCTCTAGGTCAAGATCTCATACTCCACTCATGCTGTTCTTCTTGCTGGTCCTAGGATCTTCTGTTCCTACTTCTGAGATGGCTCATTTTAAACTTAGGTGGATGGCAAAACTAACCAATCCCCAGCCTTAGAGTCTTGTATACCTTATTTTCATGGTCCCACCCAATCACTTGGTGGGAATTAAGAAGACATTGGATAGAAAAGCCATATCCAGTAAATTCAAGGTACCACAGTTTTCGGGGTTTTTTTCCAAGCTGTTCTCAGGATTCTTTCCTCATCTTTGGTTTTTGGAAGTTTGATTATGATATGTCTTGGTGATTTTCTTTTGGGATCTATCCTGTTTGGGGCTCTTTCAGCTTCTTGTATGCATATCTTCTCATCTTTCATGATGTTAGGGAAGTTTTCTTTCAACAACTCTTTGACAATTTTCTCTATGCTTTTTATTGTCTCTTGCTGGAAGTCCCATCCTGGCTTCTAAGAAGCATTCTGGCTGTACTTCTTCCAACACAGATTTGATTGTTAGTCTTGCAGTGCATGGTACTTTTAATATTCTTCTCCAACACTTTAACTCAAATGCATCAATTCTTCTACGGTTTTCCTTATTCATTGTCCAACTTCACATCCATATAAGGTGATTGAATGCCATGGCTTGGGTAAGGTGCACCTTAGACCTCAAACTGATCTATGCTTTTAAACATCCTAGAGAAATCTTGTGCAGATTTGCCTAATACAATATGTTGTTTGATTTTTTTTAAAATAAATGTTTTATTGTGAATTATGTGATAGATTACATGGGAGAACATTAGTTTTACACTCATTCTATTGTATATCGTTTCATTGCCATAGTTACAATCCTGTTCATGCATCATCAATCAACCAAAAGGTATACCTGAAAGCCTGCCCACCCACCCCCATCCACCCCCACCCCTGGTCATCAGCACACAGCCCCTCCCTCTCTGGATCTCAGGTCCCCAGCTGCTCCATCTCTCCATGTTGTCATCTCTGCCTCCATCTCAAGCATCACTGCTTCTCTGGGTATGGTTCCACTCTTTACTCTTCTCCATTGACGGTCCCAGGGCCCTCCGCTCCTAGACTGAAAAGTGAATCCCTCCCCTCCTTGCTATAAAATGTCCACCTTTACACTTCCAATCCTCACAATCAGTCCTGATAACAATTATTCACTACCAAATCACAAGAGACCCATCTGCATTTCATTTCATCAGCCCTGTCTAGACAGATTGAATACTACTCAGTGGAGATTCTACCTTCCTCCACGCCCTCTGGATCTAGGTTCCCTCCTGAAAACTTGTAAGCCAGTCACTTCTTGCCTTTGTGCACCCTCCCCCATTTTGGGTAGCCAATGTCCAAGTTGCCCATCCCTGTCTACTCTGTGTATGGAGGGGGTGGGAATGAGTCTTGCAGTAGGGATTTGTTTCCTCTTTTGAGCTACTACATCCATAGGTGTAGTTCAAGTTCATCAAATTGTAGAGATTATGCTTTTTTTCTCTCTTCTTTCTTCTTTGGGTTGAGTTCTGATCATCCAGTCCTTGAAGCCAGGTCAAGTGGGTATTATCTGCAAGTGTGGGTGTTCTTGCAACTATCCGCTCTCTTCTTATCAGCTTCACTTTCCACTCTAGTTCTCTGTGGCTGTGTCACTGACTCTGGGCCCAAGAGTCCCCAGGTCTTGCCACACTGCTGGCTGCCCAGGTCTCCACCTGGGTTCATAGGAGTCTATTGAATGTTGTAGGGCTATGTTATTTGGTTTTTTGACTGCTGCTTCTATGAGTTTGATTGTGAGTCCAAGTAAAATGAAGTCTTTGGCAACTTAAATCTTTTCTTCATTTATCATGATGTTATTTATTAGGATTAATAAAAAACATCATGATAAATGAAGAAAAGATTTAAGTGGTGAGGGTTTTTTGTTTGTTTGTTTGTTTGTTTGTTTGTTTCCTTTACATTGAGGAGCAACCCATAGCAAAGGCTGCAGTATTTGATTGTCATCAGTAAGTATTTCAAGTCCATTTCGTTTTCAGCTAGCAAGATTGTGTCTTCTACATATGACTGGCTGTTAATGAGTCTTCCTTTAATTCTGATGTCACATCTTCATATAATCCATTTTTCTCAGATT